GGCGTTTTGGATTTAGAGTCTAGTGACTGTATACTATTCATTTTTAGAAAACTAAAAACACCTCTACGTCACTAAGAAGGCATCATTTGATACTCATGCTACTTTGTTGTGTATAAACTATGTTATAGATTCTGTATGCAGCATGAATAAGCGAACAAATACGATGCTATTGAAATGGCTTTTTACGATCTTAAAGAGTCTGATAATTATAAACGTTTTTAAAATCAAAAAGAGACCCTCTCCTTGAGGATACAATTTGAAGAAGTAGTTTGCTGCAATTGAGCAATAGAATTCACGTCCTGTGCATATGTTTACAAAATATATTCAAATTTATAGGTGTACAATAAATCGATAGAAAAATTTCATAGCACTTATGTGCTCATTTTTTGTCGAAGACAGTTTTTGCAAGCAACCAAGTGGAAGTGCTTTCAAAAGCCGGCATCCAGATATGACTGAAATGTTTTGAGATTATTTTGCACAGTGATCAATATTACAACCATTTTAAAGCGGTCCTTTCTGATCTAAAATATATTTCGGGGATTCGATTATCATTTCCTGAAATTGGTCACTAACTGTAAGTTCACTGGAACTTTCCTCTTTCCTCAAGCACACATACTATGCAGCCCACCACCAGTGGAACAGATGAGCTAATCAATGTTCAACAACAAAACAAACAACGAGGGAACTGTTTTGACGAAGCTGACACTTTTCCCATTTTGGTACTCTAGATCAATAATCATAGACTTGACTGAATGACCATTTAATGTCAATAGTCATACGTAACCTGAATAATTTATGAACGAAAGACCACAAGGTGTTAAAACCACTGTCCTATACTGTCCATTTGTATTAGTATCAATTTCCTGAGTTTTATTTACATGTCTTGGATGTCGACACTGACTGCTGTCAAGAAGAAAGACATTCGGCAATTGGTTTTGCTTCTAATCCTCACCTAGTACCGTCCTATATAATAGATTTAATTCCTTACTTGCTGTCCAAGGGTGAGCTGAATGAATGTAAGTAATTTAAGATGCGCGACTTTCAGTGAATGAAATGTTATCTCCTTCAGATTGTAGCCGAGGACCATGGAAAACCACAAATGAGTTCCTCGGCTCAAGTGACGCTGCAGCTCGAGGACACAAACGACTGTGTGCCGACCTTCATACAGTCTCAGTACCATTTCTCCGTGGATGAGGAAAACCACGCGATTGATAATATGGAAGGACAGCTAGTCGGAATGGTGCATGCATCGGACTGCGACCTGGGTGAAAACGCTGCAATAAAGTATCACTTTCTTCAAGAGAGAATTCCCTTCAGAGTAAGAAATTACCAGCCGATTTAGTAACTTTTTAGGACACCTACATGTTATTTTGAACTCAAAGTCAAACGATAGTTCTACTGAAAAAGCAAACAATGATGCGTATTATTCTCTCCCAGTAATGTATATGTGGTGGAGGCAACAGTCCATGGTTTATAAACAATAAAATGACAGCCGATAAAATGGTCGCTCAGAATTTTCAAGTAAAAGTTACGTACTCATAAAAAAGACATACATGAAACATTGCGGCATATTATGGGAGCTTGTACCCAAATCGACTGCGAAACCGTGCAGTGGTAATTTACGCTTGGAAAATATTTCTTTTAGGAAGAGGGATTTTGAATAGCAGTAAAGGACACAAAGATGTCATTAATTGTGAAACTGAGAACATCCAGCATAGTGATATATCGTGGTAGTCAACAATTTTCCAACGCAAACAATGATCTTCGTTGACCAAATGTAACGTATTTATAAAGCTAAAATTACCTGAAGACAAGCTGACTGGAATAAAAACCTTTCTGTCAAACTGGTCAGGCCAAAGTAGAATAGAAAATAGGAGACTCTGATTAAGTCAAAATTAAAACCGCAAAACTGTCCTATCAGAAGGAACGATCTACAACTAGATGGCCAGCATCTACTCACCATCCGGGAAAATTTGACGTCTTGTGATGATTTTATCACGGCTTCACTTCATTTTACTTCATGTGTTCAAAGGAAGTGCTCGAAAATGTCAACGATCTTTCCTCCAGCATCTAGTTTTGACAAAAAATCTAAGGAAAGAAAATCTAAACGTCTGAAACTTTCTGCTTCGTTTGGCCGGCGAAAGCGGACAAGGCTTGGCGTGGCAGTGAATGTTTTACTCTTACGTCAAATTCTGTAGCATAAGCAAGTCAGAAAAATTCAGTTCTATGCCTTTATGAGCATCATGTTTTGTAAAATAACAAAGAAAGGAGAATTTATGGAAGAATGGCAAAGCAAAAGGCTTAGAACAGCCTAAAGGATTAGAAATGAGTGAGGTTGATTTAGCTTGAAAGTTTCAAAACGTAGTACCGACCATCTGGTAGAATATGAAAGAAGAAGCTAACATAGCCATATTTGGCAATCTATGTATATGAAGCTCAACTTTGTACTTAATAAATTCACCGCAAACTATAACAATTTAGGGTTTACTAATTGCAAATTGTATAAAAACCAAAATAACGTTTCGTTGAGCAATGTGTAAAATTATGGCAAATTTTCATTCCACAAGCATTTTGCTTGTTTACTTCTAATGCAGACCTATAGGCAGCCAAAAAGGACAAGATTCACAATGTGTTACCAAGGGGACTAGTATATACACCTTTGGAACTTTTAATTACTGCAATCAGTTTCAAGGGAAAATTGCTTTGGACGACTTCGATAAAGGAAGTTATCGATTAAATATTACTAACTGAACTGTCAACCCAGCCGGACACTAACGCGTGTAAGCTTAAGCACGAGCCCACAAGTCGCACAAATATATTATTCAAATTATTGATGTGAGAACACGAGTAGGAGCATGTATCAAATTGACGGTGTCAAAGCTATAGATTAAAAATTAAATTTCCCAATTGCCATTTTCAAATATTTGTGCCTAAGATTTAATTAATAGCCAAGAAGTAGAGTTATAAATAAATTTTCAAATATCTTCGGAAGAAGAGTGCCCGCTTGCTTGTTCGTAGGCAGAATTTCTCCTCCTGGTTGGCGAAACTAAACTGGAAGCAATGCAGCACAGTCTTTTTATGAATTATCGGATGCACCTATCTAATCCCACTAAGAAGTCGACATCAGAGTTGCATGAGGAGGTAAATTACTTATGTGTTTTCGAAGCGACCTCCTCTTTTGATGGTTCATATCATCAGATGAGTCATAGAGACCTAGAAACAGAGTAAACAAGGGGACTGGCCGAGCACCGGAACTGTCTGTTTATTGTTCTGAGCTTGCGAACTCGTGCAAGAGTGCATCATCAGAGATACTGGCGACAGCAGAACAAGCCACAATTATAGGTGTCCTAGCCAGTCATCGACCGATGACGCAAAACTACAGGTGACTGCACAGGGCGCTGTACACTGACACCCGATCGATAAGTCGATTGACTTAGTTCTCATCCGGAGCCAGGCTCAAATCAATTCTCCGTCTGTTTTCGTCTCGGCGTGGGCGATTATCTTGGTGACTGCAAAGCTAGACTCATGACCCACTTCATAGGTCTGGACAACCACTCGTGATAATTTGTCACCTCTTCTCACAGTCAGCTTATGTTCGTGTATGCGCGATCCGAGCATGAGTCCAGTCTGATCTGTGTGGCCACAAGGACAGCTTCGGCACGGGATGCGATAAACTATCCCAGAATGCTCCTCGGGCTTTAACCGGTCTCTGATTTTTATGACCTTGCTGCGCACAGTGGTTTTGGGCGGTGCGCGATTCCGACACCTAGTTCCGCATCCACGTGGTCAGTCGCTTTTGAAACGTCCTTCGTAGCCACCAGGCTAAACGCTCGTACCGGAAACCAAACAGACCCTGAATTAATTGATGTCTGGGCCTCGGATGAGAACTCAGGCAATCGCTTTCTCGATCTGGTTTCGATGTACAATGCCCTATAATCTTGATACATCGACCGGTAATTGGATAGTATCCCTATAATTGTCGTTCGTTCTGTTGTCGCAACTACCTCTGACAATGGACTCCAGTACTGTTCCGGTGCTCGACCAGTCTTCTTCTTCAATTATCCGTGCACTTGGAGCTGGATTTTCGCTCCCATTCGTGCGAACAGAGTTTCATGAGCTTGCAATCTTAATATGTTGCACTAAGTAGTACATTTATTAGTGAGATACAGTAAACACAATCCCTTAATTTACCACGGAATGGCTCTTGGGTCTATTTTTAATCATCCGCTCACCTGTTCAATTAGTTCTTCACAATTGTTACTCTGCTTTCCTTTCTTAAAATATATTTGATTTGCAGATTTTCAAAAATGGTTCCATATACGCCATCGGAAGACTCGATCGAGAGACAGTGCCTGCATACCTACTTACAGTTATTGCGGAAGACATGGATGGAAATGGTGGCGATCGAGCTCTGAAGTCATCTGCCCAGGTTCACATAACCGTGAACGATGTGAACGATCATGCCCCGGTGTTTAAATTTCCATGGGGAAATACTT